TGTGCTAAGAATGCTAATGTGATGTGGTAAATATGCTAATGAGATGTGGTAAATATGCCAATGAGATGTGCTTAGATTGCTAATGAGATGTGGTAAATATGCCAATGAGATGTGCTAAGAATGCTAATGAGATGTGGTAAATATGCCAATGAGATGTGCTAAGAATGCTGATGAGATGTGGTAAATATGCCAATGAGATGTGCTAAGAATGCTAACTTGAATTTTGGATTTAATTATATCATGATCGGAATTGGATACATTCTTTTAACTTGAATTTGGAATTTAATTATATTATGATACCAAATGGATACATTCTTTTAACTTGAATTTGGGATTTAATAATATCATGATCTGAATTGGATACATTCTTCTAACTTGAATTTGGGATTTAATTATATCATGATCTGAATTGGATACATTCTTATAACTTGAATTTGGGGATTTTATGTTAATGAGATGTGGTAAATATGCTAATGAGATGTGGTAAATATGCTAATGAGATGTTGTAAATATGCCAATGAGATGTGCTAAGAATGCTAATGAGATGTGGTAAATAAGCCAATGAGATGTGCTAAGAATATCAATAAAAGATGTGCTAAGAATGCTAACTTGAATTCGAGATTTAATGATATCATGATACCGAATGGATACATTCTTTTAACTTGAATTTTAGGGGATTTATGTGGTAATAATGCTAATGAGATGTGGTAAATATGCCAATGGGATGTGGTAAATATTCTAATGAGATGTGGTAAATATGCTAATGAGATGTGGTAAATATGCTAATGAGATGTGGTAAATATGCCAATGATATGTGCTAAGAATGCTAATGAGATGTGGTAAATATGCCAATGAGATGTGCAAGAATGCTAACTTGAATTTGGGATTTAATTATATCATGATGCCGAATGGATACATTCTTTTAACTTGAATTTTGGATTTAATTATATCATGATCCGAATTGGATACATTCTTTTAACTTGAATTTGGGATTTAATTATATCATGATCCGAATTGGATACATTCTTTTAACTTGAATTTGGGATTTAATTATATCATGATCCGAATTGGATACATTCTTTTAACTTGAAATTCGAGTTTTATTTTATCATAATAGGAATAGATATAAGATGTGATATGAGTGCTAATGACAGAACTCTCCATCCAACTTCATTGTTTAAGTCTAATATCTTACTTATATCTACATCTAAGCTGTGCTTCAGTAACTTACCCTTACTATCTTAGCAGAATTTTCATTCCCATATCCTTTGTTTGATTATCCTAATTGTCCAAGTATTTTTTTTTTTTTTTTTTTAGTTCATTTGTATCTCCTATCCTTCAGTTTAATGCCATTATCATCATATCCAAATAGTTATGACCAATTGTGTATGTAATGAAATATTTATGGTACAATTTTTTAGAATCATTTACCAATGAGAGACCATTAGATGAACTTAATTGCCATCATAAATAAATCTTTTACAGTGTTAAAATAGATTAAAAGATAAAAACTCCAATATCCTTTCACTTGTTTAAAAATAGAAAATTAAAAGAGTAATAGGAATTGTACAAAATTTTTAATTTTTGTCTTTGGCAAATTATTAATTAATGAATGTTTGAAATTTGAAATAAAGAATTGTGAAATGAATTTATTTAAGAAACATAATTAAGTCTACATTTTATTTTCTGAGGATTTTTTTGATATATGTAAGTGAACTGCAACCAACAACACAAAAAAAAAAAACGTCAAAAGATTATAGTACATTTTATTTACAATTTAGTTTTACCCATTCCTTATAAAAAAAAAAAAAAAAATATTTTAAGAAATCATTAATGTTGACCTTTATAAAAAAGACACAACTTTTAATTTATATATTTTTAAACAATCTTTTGAAAGGTTTTAAAGATAATGTTAATACCTTTTTTCCTTCGTTTGGAATTTTCAAGATAAAATAATATGGAAATTTATAAATGAAGATGTATAATGCCATACCCCTTAAATTCTAATAAAACCATAAATCATGTCTGATGTTAAAGATCAAGAAAAAAATGGTGAAATAATTTTTCAAATTTTCAAATTTTAGATCAAATTGCCCTTAAAAGTCAGATGTAGAACATATATGTATCGGCTATTCCTAAACCATTTTACAGATTTTTAAAGGAACTTTCAGAACAGAACATTTAAGATACCAATTTCGTAATGCAAGGTTTATTAAAATAATTTTGGGAATTTCCAAAAGTAAAACGTGTGAGTCTAAGAAAGACATCCAACCCTTCCGGAATACATTATTGTCGCTCAGAGTCAACTTGACTTTGCTCTTACTTTTAAGGGAAAAGCAGCAAATACTCCTTTTAAAGTCTTTGGTTTGTCCAGACATGGGATGGAACCATTTACCTCCAACACTTCGGGCAAGCATAGGACCATTGAGGGGGTTGGGAGCAGATGGGTTTTGAATTTCTTATAATTGGTAGTGAAAAGTATTCATTTTAAAATATTCATATTCATTTTATTTTTGTTTATTTGAAAATGAACTGTTACTCATTCTGTTGTTCAATTCCTAGTAGTAACAGAAATCAAAAAATTTTTATATTTGGTTTAAAAATATTTAATTGAAAAGTTAATGTTTACATGCCAAACTGTTGTTTGAATTAAATTGTTCCACTTTATTGTTGATAAGAAATATCCATTCCTCTACAGGTAGTACCTTAATATAAAAAAATCTTATTCTTTCTAAGTACCAACACTAACAATTGGTACTTACTAACAATTGGTACTTAATTAAATAGGTTGGAAGGATGGAAGAAAGAGAGGGAGAGAATGGAGTGAAATCGATGGAGCGAGTATAGAGATCGATGGAGCGAGTATAGAGATTGATGTAGCGAGTATAGAGATCGATGTAGCGAGTATAGAGATTGATGGAGCGAGTTTTCAAATAAGGGTTTAAGGTACTATTCTTGTGGAGGGATAGGACTTCTTCTGCTCTAAAATTACATTTTATTACACAGAATTTATTAGATTGATTTTTTTTAAAGAAAGTATTCAAAATTATTGTCACATCGTAACATTGGAGACATTCATCACCTGTAATTTCGTCCAAGATTGATTAAACGTTTTTCTGAAATTTAAATTATCTATCTGAAAATTAAAGGATGCTGATTAATAATCATAAAACTATAATTTGAAAATTGATGTCTTAAGTCAAAATTCAATTCAATTTAATCCCTTTAATATGTTTTATTTGGAAAAATATCTGTTTTTAATATCTTCTTTTTACAAAGAGAATTTCCTGTTAACAATATGGGTATGAATAATAAGAATACAAACCAATTATCTTTGTTATGCAAATCCAGTCTTAAAGTCCTTGTTTTAAAATTATGTTATTGTTACATTTCAAAATTGGAAAATTTCGTGACCCCAGTGGCCGATTCAAGGGGGGGGGGGGGGTCTGAGGAGTTGTAACCCCCCCCCCTTTTTTTAATGAACAATGTATTTGAATGGGGATATATATTTGGAACCCCCACTTTCTCCTGGGTTGGAACACCCCCCCCCCCCCCCCCCTTTAAAAATTGCTGGTTCCACCCCTGAACCCTTTCTCCCTATTTGGTAAAGACATGTAAAAAAATAAATGTTTGCCTTGGAAAATTCCCTGAAAAATTTGTATAACAGCCAGTCTAGCCTGTCCTAATTCTGTAACTACCAAGTTATTTACCTATTCTGGAAAAATTTGACTGTTTCAACGCCACTTGTAGTACTCCTGGCTATTACATGGCTGCCAGTTTTTATTGGTTGGGGAAGCCATAACACCTACAGAACCACCAACCTTCTGTGTCTTTACATGTTGTCCAAAGTTTTTGTTGAAATGTTTGTACTGGTTTGAGGTATTGCTGATTAAAAGTGTGGACGCCTGATTTAACAAAATACATCCTTTATTAAGATTAAAGAGTAATTATTATCCAATTTTCCAATTTAGTTTCAGCACAAATGTAAAAGATAATTGTTGCAGAACCCCATTTCATTTAAAGCTAGGAACAATATTAGATTTTAAATTTTGAATCTTCCAAAATAAATCTTTTCAGATTTGTAAAGTGGTACATTAATTGTGAACTATAAAAACAAAACTTTTCTAATAATAAGGGACATAACTATCCAATGGTAAAAACAAGTAAATACAAAACCCATCAAAATAATTAATGCTTTCAGATTTGTTAGTTTTTGAACACTAAATACAAAATTAGCCTCCTTCCGGCCAAATGAAACTTAATTAACTTTGTAAAAGAATTTTTCTATGTCTAAAACACTTTAATTGGATAAAAAATATGAAGTAAAAACTGACCTTTAAACTGACCTTTATAATCTGACCTTTATAATCTGACCTTTATAATCTAAGCTTTTTTGGGACGAGAACAAACATCATCAAAGATACTTATTACTTGGTCACAACAATTGATAATTTTTTAGACACCTATTATTACAAAATCTAATTTTTGCCATCTAAATTATTTTGTTTTGTGTGTTGTTGGCTTGCTGTCTCATTGAAATATACCCCAGATCCTCTTTTATTTTATTCATTATGACTTGTCATTATCAGTTTTGGAAAGAAGAAAAAAAACATGCAAATTTATAGCAAAAGAACTTTTAAAACTCTATAAAATAATGTAACGCTTGAAATATTTTAGAACAGAAAAGTGTTTAAATAAATGATCAGCGATTCATGTTTTGCTTTAACCCAGTTTATACAAAAATAAAATCACAAAAATACTGAACTCTGAGAAAAATTCAAAACAGAAATTCCTTAATCAAATGGCAAAATCAAAAGCTCAAACACATCAAACGAATGGGCAATAACTGTTATATTCCTGACTTGGTACAGGCATTTTTTTATGTAGAGTGACTTTATCATTACATGTCTAGCATACATTAAATGTGGTTAAGAGAACTATTTAATACAACACATGATAATGCTAAAAGTCATAATGTTCCAAAGAGTGAAAAAAAGTGTTTTATTTTCATTGCTAAGTATTTTTAGGGGGAAAAAAATCTTATTATTTACTAAGAAATGGTTATCAATGTAAAATTTTACAAACGAAGCTTTTGTTTCTTACATTGAGGCATAATTTGTCATCCTTTTTCCCACTCAAAGCATTTTGATAATTTTATCACTTTGAAGGAGCATCTACACTGACAGCAGCCATAATTGTTAAGTGAATTTATTTCACAAGTATTCTAAAAAAAAATATTTTTATTTTTATCTCTTTAATATGATAATATTGTCTAAAACAAGATCTGTCATGTTTTGAAGAAAAGACCAGAATTGAAGAATTGTTAATGAATTAAAGAAACAAACATAAGATATATTTTACCAAATTGTCCATTTCAGGGGAAGATAATTGTCCAATTCAGGGGGAGATACACATATATTGAAATAAATGAGATGTGGTAAGAATGCCAATGAGATGTGGTAAATATGCCAATGAGATGTGCTAAAAATGCTAATGAGATATGCTAACTGCCAATGAGATGTGCTAAATATGCCAATGAGATGTGGTAACAATGCGAATGAGATGTGGTAAATATGCCAATGAGATGTGGTAATAATGCTAATGAGATGTGGTAAATATGCCAATGAGATGTGGTAATAATGCTAATGAGATGTGGTAAATATGCCAATGAGATGTGGTAATAATGCTAATGAGATGTGGTAAATATGCCAATGAGATGTAAGAATGCCAATGCGATTTGGTAAGAATGCCAATAAGATGTGGTAAATATGACAATGAGATGTGCAAAGAATGCCAATGAGATGTAATAATGCTGATGAGATGTAATAATGCCGATGAGATGTGGTGATAATGCCAATGCGATTTGGTAAGAATATGCCAATGAGATGTGGTAATAATGCCAATGAGAACTATCCATCAGAGATTGAGCCACAAGGCTGAGAGAGTTCTCTTTCTTTTATGTGAGTTTTATGTTTACTTTGCAAGCTCCCCTAAGTAACAGCTGAAATTTTGAATAACCACTTTTGAATTAAGAATGCCAATGAGAACTTTCCACCAGAGATTGAGCCACAAGGCTGAAAGAGTTATCTTTCTTTCATGTGAATTTTACGTATACTTTGCAAGCTCCCCTACAGCTGATAGTTTACATTTTCATCAAAAAATTATTAAAATTACCCTTTCTTTTAATAAAATCATTTTATAATTAAACTTTTATAAATAAACATGTAGAAAAAGCTTGCTATAAATCTCAAATTCAAAATTTTCTGCAAAAAAATATATTAAATAACCACTTTTGAATTTTTTTCCAATTTAAAAAAAAAATATACCAGTTATGGCACGGGGATAGAAAAATTAGAAAAGATGTGTGGAATCAAATGGATGACAACAATAGTGAAATGAAATATTCTAATAATAACCAGTTTTAAATGTATTGACTTAATTGACTTATTGTAAGAGGATATATGTGACCAGTCAGAATAGTGGACAATGAAATATTCAAATGATAGAACTGACTGAAGTGAATAGACTTAAAATCCAGAATTGAAACCAGCAAGTGAATTATTGACACCAGCCTTGGAACCAGCAAGTGAATTATTGACATTCATATTGATGTGACCAGTATTCATGTGGATGGACAGTGCTAGTGGAATATAAACTGATAAATCTTACAGATAGGCACATCACAACCGGGTCTGAAGCTTTAGCATACAAAAGACATGGTAATTATACTTAAAATACATTATAAAATTACACTGAATGTGACTACATGTAGATATTTATTTACCTTATATTATAAGCATTTATGTTTGGTGTGTTTGAAAAAGAAAAATGCACAGAGTCAAAGGTCTTCATTGATGTTCTGATTGTGTACGTAGAGAAATTTTTCAAGTTGTAATCCATAAACCTTATCCGGAAAACCAGATTTAGTAATACAAAACCAACTTATATAGAGGGTAAACTTTGGTGCTTTGAATAGAAAAGTTAAGGTAAACAGTTTTCGAAAACCGTTGTGAAAAATTACTCTTTACAAGTAAAAATTTTACATAAAAATCATGCATATAGATATAGGAAGATGTGGTATGAGTGCCAATGAGACAACTCTCCATCCAAGTAACAATTTATAAAAGTAAACCATTATAAGTCATGGTACGGCCTTCAACACAGAGCTTTGGCTCACACCGAACAGCAAGCTATAAAGGGCCCCAAAAATTACTTGTGTAAAACCATTTAAACGGGAAAACCAACGGTCTAATCTATATAAAGCCTGGTAAATTGTAAAACAACATGTATGTACCCGATTGGATGTTATATTATTACTTAGGTGAAAAATTGTCCTTCTCTGACTTGTAATTAAAATTCCATAAAAGCATTTTTTTTAAATGTGACTGTTCAACATAATTTGTTTCCTTCAGATATCCAGGAATTTTTTAAGAATTGTGTGTGATCTATTTCAAGATCTGAGGACACTAGGACCTGGAAGTACTATATTACCAACTTCAAGGTAAGTCTATAGTAAAACAAAATGGTAATGAAATATTGCTCCTGCAATTATACAATGGAAACTTGATTATCATCATACTTTCTTTTGTTTATCCCTCATACTGTTTAAGTCTTGACCAAATTATTTGAAAGTTTGAAATTTTTATAAGAAATATTGATATTAGCAAGTTTAAATACTCTCATTTCTGAGTTATATGTTATGTTTAATGCATATAAATCTGATTCAAAAATTGAAATGGCATGGTAACTTTCCTTTTATATTTAGCCCACATTAAGCTCGTTCAAAATATGCATGAAATATTGATCACTGGACATTAAGCATGCAACATTCAATCAATCAATCCAGTATATGGATATAGGGTATGAATAATTTCTGACATATTAAGAATTAGATATGTTATTTTGTGAATTTATTTTCAATGTTTTAAGTGACATTCTGTTTTTTCTTTGTAGATTAACTGTGCTTCGGAATTTACAAATCAACTGATGCAGAAGAAGAGACTTTAATTTCGCCATTTAGATGAACTTGGAAACAATTATTGACAAAAAATATAGTGTATTAGTATTCTTGTTAAAATCAATAGAGAAAGAGAGAGAGAGGGAGGAAAGGAGAGAGTCAGTTGTAAAGGTTTATTTCTTTGTAACCAGACATGTCGATTACATTAGAATTTCAGAGGCCTACAGTTCTCCCTTAAATGGTCATAGTTAATACATGAAGTAGTTTAATGTTAGACTTTGATGTGACCAGTGAGAACAATCAGGCAGCTGTCATTGGTTTAATGTTAGACTTTGATGTGACCAGTGAGAACAATCAGGCAGCTGTCATTGGTTTAATGTTAGACTTTGATGTGACCAGTGAGAACAATCAGGCAGCTGCCATTGGTTTAATGTTAGACTTTGATGTGACCAGTGAGAACAATCAGGCAGCTGCCATTGGTTTAAATCTCTTTTTTTGAATATGATTTGGTTACATTAGAATAAATCTGAGCGGAATGACAAAAAAAATGTAAAAAAAAATTGTGGTATTTTGTACAGTTTCATTATGCAATCTTGAATACATTTATGATTACTATTTATAAAGAAGTATTATCATTAGAATGAGGATGGAAAATGTATAAACATTTATTTGAGACAGAGTTTCGCATTATTTCATTAAAATAATTAAATCTTTTTTTTTGTGAATGAAGGACAAACAGGGAAAACAGACAAAGCTGCTATTCTATGAATTTTAAATTGTATTTATTTACATTTGATTGATTAGTTGAAGATTAACTACAAGTATTCAGCATAGTACAAAATTAAGGATGCACTGCAAATGTATATTATCTTTATAGTTATCATCACACTATGTCCAATCTAGATGTACAACACTCTTTTTTATAGTGTTCTGTAAATTATTTAACAGGAACACCAGTTGTGATGAATGGGAAGACTGGCAGGCTGAGAAATGGGTATAAGGGGAGGGAATACCCCTGCTTATCTTTTCATACTGGTTAGTTCCTTTGGTAAAGGTTTTGTACAAATATTGTGCATATCAGATGTATACGTTTTGTTAATAGGGTTGTTATTTAGAGCTCTGTTAAAAAAAAAAAGAAAAAAAAAAAAAAAAAAAAAAAAAAGATAAAAAAAGGAAAGGAAAAAAAAAGAATTGTTAAACAGAGTTCTAGATAATAACTGGGTGGTATGAAATGTGGGTTACTATTTTAGGTATATTTACAATGATATTTTTTTTTGATGCATCTGATATTTTTGTGTATAAAATGTTTTATTATTTTTTACAGAATTGCTTTAGTTGCCTTCTTGACTAACATTTCGTTTTGGTGAATGGAGAGACTAGCAGGCTGAGATTGAGGCGTAAGGGGAGGGATTACCCCTGCTTTTCTCTTCATACTGGTAAATTCTGTCACTGCATGGAAGGTCAACAATTAAGAATGTATTAGTTATCATTTTTTTATGTATTGTTAGTTAGATATGTTATATCAGATGTATATAAAGTAAGATGCAAGTATTCTTTAGAGCTCTGTAAAAAAAGAAGCTTGTAAACAGAGGTCTAGATAATGTATTAAGGGGTTTGGTTTGACATGGGGATTCCAAATTTTATTTACAAGTCATCATCTACAAAAATGCATCTGATATTATTTGCCCCACGCCCAATTTCGTGTCCCAAATATAATGACTACAGAATAATGGTGACAGCTTGGTCAACACCTTTATTTTAAGTTTCTGATTCCCCCCCCGCACCCCCCTTTTAATTAAGTAGTTATAGGTTATTAATTGGTTTTAAAGAAGTGTCATAGGATTATTGATATACTAATTTCTGTGTATGGATTAATCTTCTCTATTTGAAGGTGCTTTTGATTAAGGTGTGTGAAACTAGAAAATGTTTTAGTAGTTCATCAGCACAGTCTTAATACAAATAGGTGACAACTCATATTTGGTGAAAAATGGAAATTTACCTCTATATATCTGCATTTTATATGCTACAAAATTTTGCCTTTTTTACAAAGGTTTATCTAAATTTTTCAAAAGCTTCAAAGGAATTTTCTTTTATTACAAATCACATGACTTCTTAATAGCTTAATTTCACAAAGTGAAAAACCCTGTCCATAAAATTGATTTAATGGAACTTTCACACTGTTGATTTAAGTAAATAATTTCTTTTAAGGAATATTACAGAAGTTTACAGAATATAACTATACTATTTTTGTGATACTGTAAAAGAAAAGGAACATTATATTAAATACTGATATTATTTAAATTGTACATGTTATAATCACAATATGATATACAGTATTATTAATCATGTAGAATACTGCAAGTAATATGACAATGTACATGTTATAGTCTCAATATAATATGTAGTACTTCAACTAACAACCCTGTTTGTTCATGACAATTGTACACTTGAAATATCTGTTACAATTACACACCCATGCTTTTTCCCTATAATATGTTGGGGTTTTTTAATGCAGGGTGCATGTTTTTCTATGATTTGCCACATGTTTGTCTCTATTTTTAATAAATAACAATTACATGGAACTGTTTCTGTTTTGTTGATAAAATGAAAGGTCCTTATTTAGTCCCTCTTCAAATATATGAGTTTGTTATCTTGACTCTAGTGTAATTCATCAATTTGGATGACTATGTCCTCGAGGCTAGGTAAGACTGAAAACTGGTATTTGCAGCTTCAATGCCAAGGACACATCAGTTAGAAGAAGTACTTGTCTGTCATATTTGTTTTTCATAAATTATTTGGTTATAAATTAGTCTGTTAAGAGCTTTCTTGTTTGAATTATCTCACATTTTGTTTGGCATTATATAGCTAACTTCCTGGTATACAATATAGATTTTGCTCATTGCTGAAAGCTGTACAGCAACATTTAGCTGCTTATAATTGGCCTCATTTGAACTTTGGTGCATAGACTAGTTTTCTCATTGGCAATCATACCACATCTTATTTTATAGAGACTGGTTGGCTGGAGTCAGAATACTGTAAATTCAAAAGTTATTGCCTGCATTTATAATTGCGATTTTGTCATTTTAGACTAAAACGTGATTCTAATTTTTGCAATATTGACAAAAATCCTGTTTAATGCATATAAAAAAAAATGAAAATGCGAGTTTAAAATATTGCGATTATAACACTGTTGCTTTTTTTGCAATAATAAAACAATAGTAATAATTTCTGCATTTACAGTATTAATTTAGGGTATGGTGATCCAGTCGATTTTGAGGTTAAAATGTTGAAGGCAACAGACCTAAAATGGAATATTGTGCATGAAAGGATTTTTTTGGTTAACTTCAAGGAAATTTTACTGCAATTTGATCTTAGTGTTGATTGAATGGTTAGCTGGAGTGCCGAAGAGAAGTCAATGGTATTTGGTATGCATTTATATTGGCATTTACAATTTTCAGAGGTTATTCAGCCCTGCACATTCAGTCATGTATAAAAATGAAAAGAAGTGGTATGATTGCCAATGAGACAACTCTCCACACGAGACAAAATGACATAGAAATTAATAATTATAAGTCGCTGTACAGCCTTCAACAATGAGCAAAGCCCATACCGCATAGTCAGCTATAAAAGGCCCCAAAAATGACATGTAAAACAATTCAAACAAGAAATTAACGACCTAATTTATGTACAAAAAATGAACATATTACAAATATGTAACACATCAACAAACAACAAACACTGAATTACAGGTTCTTGACTTCGGACACGGCGCATACATACAGAATGTGGTGGGGTTCAACCCTCCCCCTAAACTGGGAGAGTAGTGTAACAGTACAACATAAGAACGAACTATAAAAATCAGTTTAAAAAGGCATAACTCATCAGATGGATACAAATAGAAATACTACACAGAGTTGACTTGACTGGGTACTTGTATATCCCAACAACACAAAGACACTAAGTACAGATCTGAGAGTACTAGCAGTTACTGACAGGTTCATTGACTTTGAATGTTCTGCATAGTTGACACGTTAAAAGATTGCATTTCTATTTAAACATTTGCAGTATACTAAATAACATAAGGGCGAGACAAAGCTCGGAGTCAACAGGTAATACTTATGATTAAACAGATGAAATGTCTGTAGCAAAATTTCGAAAATATGTTTTTTGCTTTTTCAGTATTTTACTAATAGATTCACTTAGTTTTTTATCAGTCTGAAATTAAATTTTTTTGAATAAACTAATTTTTGCCCTAAAATATGAACATTTTTAAATGTTGTGATAAATTGATGAAGGCATATGTTACAATGTCTAATTTTTTCAGTTAAAGAAGATTTTAATAGATTACACCATAAGTGGTGTATTTGTGACGTCAATAATGTAGGGAAGTTCATTATAAACTGAATTTTCGCATAACTTTGCAAAATTTCTGACAGCTTTTTGAAAAAAATTAATAGTGGCCACCCACACCAATAAATATTTATGTTAAAATATTCCTCATACACCATATTTTACTTTTCACCATAATTTCAATAGGCGAGGGGTGGATCCACATATGAAATCATTAAATAAGGTTAAATAAAAGTGACAAATATCTTGAAAAAAAATTTGATTTGGTGAATCAACTCATTTGTCTATCTGTTGAGATGAAGAAACCATATTCTGAGTTCATTACTTTAAAGTTAATTAAGTTCTAAAAATAGTCTGAAATTTGCATTGGGAAATGGACTTTCAAATGTCATTGTCTACCAAGTTTAAAGCAAGATGAAGGGAATTTTAAAGTCATATGATATATATATACATACCATTATCTTAGTCTATCCATATCATTGATTTTGCCATATCAAAGGATTTGTATAATAAGAAGGTTCTTTTACTATACAAATCCTTGCCGTATCTATCTGCAAATGTGCACCCCCTAGTCACTGTTTTATGCGATTAATTTATTGGGTTTCATAGCTTAAAATACAGAATGGCATCCTTAATTGCCACCAATTGTTTGTGGTTGGAATTTGTAGAATAACAATGTTTTGCCAAAATCTACAATAGTCCTTAAAACTTTTAAAACCAAAATCCCAATAAAATCAACTAAATAATAACAAACCTTGTCATGTGAAGAAATGTGTTTACATTAGAACAAAATATTGGGGCCAAAATGGACCATTAATAGGTTCTGTGATTAAAAAACAACTCTATAAAGAATAGTATATTGACTAAGGTTCTTAGTGTGAGAAAGGACTTTTAAACAGT